CACTGGACACAGAAGAAGTGAACCTGAGCAGCGATGTCACCTCCCGATGTGGAAGGCTGGTTTTCCAAAGGACACATCTGCCTCCTCCAGGGCTGGCCTTACTCTGCATAAACTCCCAGATCCAAACTTCCGGGCTCTCTCAAGTGTTTTGCATTAACTGTTCCGCAGGACAAACACAATCAACTTGGTATGTTTGGATGTTTCATTTTGCTTTTTCGAAAAAATGTTTTAATTAAAACAACATAATCCACGATGCTAAGCATATTGTTGGTCCCTTTTTTTTTTTTAAGACTTCAACAACAATAGTGCCATGGAAATAAGAAGTTAAGTGCCTAGGAAAATGATAGAAGTTTGTTCTTTTCTCCCAGCCCTCCCCACTTCCCCTCACTGCTTTTCTGTCTCAGGATTGGTGCCACCTGCTGCCAGAGCTTTCCTCTGAGAAAAAGATCCTCTCCACAGATTGTTCCAAGCAACATCTGCAGGCCTACCACAACAAGCCAGACACTTGTTGGTTCCGGGGTAGCCTCAATCTTCTGAGCCACACTACATTTCTCTAGCATTAAAAAAAAAAAAGCCTTAAGATCGAAATGTATGTGCCTGGACTTTCCTCCATTTCTTTTCTGCTAAGACAGAATATAAAATTAACCATCTGAACTCTGCTTCCCCCTTAGTTATCTTGATAGGTACCATGCAAGATTCACTCATTCACCAAAATCAAGCCTCCTTATCACTTCTCCAGCCTAGTGAAAATGGAAAAGAAAAATTAGTAGACACTGAACTCAAGCAACACTAGGCACAGTGTAGCCTGTGAGACCCTCAAAGTTATGACCGGGGTTTAAATTTTTAATTTTGAAAAAAAAATAGTAATATCTTACATGTAAAAAACATGAAATTCAAATTTCAGTACCCATGGTGTTTCATGGGCACACAGCCACACCTATTCCTTTATATTCTGTCTACAGCTGTTTTGTTTTTTTTTTGTCCCAGAGAGTTGAGTAACTGCAACACACAATATGTGGCAAACACAGCCCAAATTCTTTACTGTCTCATCCTTGATTTAAAATGTGCCAACACCTAGTCTACAGTCGGAGGTAGCATTTCAGCCTTCAGGATCCCAGAGGAGATATGTCCCATCACTAAAAGTTTCTAATCTGTACCTTGTGGAAGCTATTTTTTTTTTTTAAGATTCATTTATTTTTATTGGAAAGTCAGATATACAGAGAGGAGGTGAGACAAAGAGAAAGATCTTCTGTCCAATAGTTCACTCCACAAGTGGCCGCAATGGCTGGAGTTGAGCCAATCTGAAGCCAGGAGCCAGGAGCTTTTCTTGGTCTCCCACATGGGTGCATGGTCCCAAGGCTTTTGGGTCATCCTTACTGCTTTCCCAGGCCATAAGCAGGGAGCTGGATGGGAAGCAGGGCTGCCGGGATTAGAACCGGCGCCCATATGGGATCCTAGCACATGCAAGGCAAGGACTTTAACCACTACGCTATTGCGTCGGGCCTGTGGAAGCTATTTTAAAGCAATATATTTTATCTTAATCATTTATGGCTTTGTGTCCAATGATGCTAAGACCTAACCTAAGGGAATCAAATTGCTGCTTATCAGTAGTGAAACTAAATGAAACATTCTCTTGTGTTAAAATACATAAAAGGGTTCACTGTCTATCTCAAACATTTACATAGTTGTTCCGGGGACAGACACAAAAAAGAGCAGAGTTCCTTGACACCAAGTCAACATGAAGTTTTTTTTTACAATACTTCTGTAAGTCTTTTGTAACTGCCATGTGTGCTGACGGGCTTCACTCCTTCACTGCCTCAGCCCCCATGCTCATACAGATCATTCTATCAGCCATATCAGCCATCAGTCAGATCCCCAGGACAAGTGGGGCTCGGCAGGTGTCTTGATATTAACTGAACTCACAGGTTTTACAGCAATACTACTGGCTAGTAGGCCAAATTCCAGATGAAGAATTAGAGGGGAACAAGCATCAGCTTATAGACTTATAAAAGGCAACTATAACACATTAAATCACTGCCTACAAGGATGGGCTCAAGTCCCAGTGGTTCAAATCCCAGCAGCTCCACTTCTATCCAGCACCTTGCTAATGAGCCTGGGAAAGTAGCAGAAGACAGGTCAGTGTTTGGACCCCTGTACCTTCGTGGGAGACCAGGAAGAAGGTCCTAACTTCTGCATGGCCCAGCCCTAGCTGTTGGGGCAATTTGGGGGAGTTAACCAGCAGATGGAGGATCTCTTTCTTCCTCTAGCTTTGTATTTCAAATAAACAAGAAATAAATCTTTTTTTATTCAAAGAAAGAAAGAAGGAAAGAAAGAACGAACTTGAGTGGGGAAGCTCTTCTGCTACACACCTGATAGCTCACCTCCCATCTCTCCCCCACAGGTCAGTAAATTCCAGATGCGCAGCCATTCCAAGAGCCCCCCCCAGGCCCCATGACCCCAGCTGCCTTCCCTGCTCCATTAACCTGTATCTTCCTTCTTATCAGTTGTGAAAGAAGGGAAAGACTCTCAAAGGAAGAATGGAGAGAAGAAAGGCAATCATTTGGGGTTGCCTACACTGTAATTAGAAGTAGCATTGATGGGGAATGAGCTAACTGTGTTTATAAAGTCAGCATTCAAAAATGCAAACCACCGGTAATTTAAATATTACAAAATTGTGCAGAATATAAGAATTGAAATAATTTTTTCCATCCACAACATTTTAGAGAAAATTACAGTATCACAAAATATAAAATGGTAAGCTTGGCAGATCCTCAGAGTAAAACATTATTTTTTCTTTCTTTTTTTTTTTTTTTGGTTTAATTGGAAAGGATTTTAAGAACCAGTGGGCAGTTTCTCAACAGGATGTGATGCTGACAGTTGTTGGGATCACTCCAAAACTGCTTCTGGAACGAGAGTGGGAACGAGTGGGAACGTCACACAAGCACCTGTGCTGGGGGGGGGGAGGGGCTGGCCCTTATCACAAATCATTTCTTAACTATTCCTTATTTGTCCCTACCTCAGATGCCTAAATAGCAATCATGTAAGAGCTGCCACATTTGACCCCTGAGAAGCCAAGGTGCCTGGGCATAAAGAATCCACCTGCCAACAAGCCTAAACACAGAGCTGGCTCACTCCTGGCTTTTCAGAGCAGCTCACTGTCCTTTCCAGAAAAGAGAACGCAATCTATTTCTACCCAAACCCCTCTCTCTCTCTCCGGAGAGGACATTAAATCCTGAACACACAGATGGCAGGCTGGAGCTAGGGGGTTACCAGGTTACAGCGATGTTGACATATCCTGGCTCTCAGAATGTCCCTCTCTCACTCTTCACATATGGCAAACAGTAGATGGGATCAAATGGTCCGAGTCCCCCCCCAAAAGGCGGTGTTCACTCAGAGACCACTTACTGCCTGTCTAGGTTGACTGACCCCAAGCCAAGCTCTGCCTTTTGTAGGGATTAACCGCACGGGAAGCTGTGAGTCTTCCCAGGGTAAATGAGGTGTCTAGCCCTTGATGAACTGTGAAGCACTATAAAAAGAGGATTATTAAAATAACGTTTATGGACTGCCCTCTCTGCACGCGGCTTGTCACCTGCAGGACCCTGTGTTCTCCTCGCAACCTCCCACAAGGCAGGGTCATCCAGCCCCGCCCCCTCATGCACAAGAACAGACCTGAAGGCACGGTCTCACATCACAGTCACGGATAACACCAAGCCCAGGCGGTCCCACATCACAGTCAGGGATAACACCAAGCCCAGGCCTTTTCGCCAATCCTAAACGCAGCAACTGAAGTCGGCTTCCAACGGCACAGCCCTGTCTTAGCATTCAGGAACTTTGGGGTGGAGAACCTAAAGGCCGGTTTTTCTCATCTGGCAAGACAGGTCCTTCGTGTCCCTTTCACCCAGGTCTCAGACACCCAGCACCCAAACAACCTGTTCAGGAACCTAACTAGACCAGGGCACACCCTCCTGCTTGCTCTGCAACTTGGAAAGGATTCTGCTAAGCAGAGTGCCCTCTTGGGGGTGGGCGGGGAAAGGACTCCATCTAGGGAAGACTTGGCCTTGGCAGCAGGGGGTCTCTGTAAATAATGGCGTTACCCCCCCACACACAAAGGAGAGCTCGGTAGGGGGTCAAGTGTTCCCATCCAGCCCTTCCTTCCACTCTTGCTACTGAACTTGAGTCAAGGACAAGTTCAAAGCGGGCCCCAGAGGGCAGGGAGGGGGTTGTCCTGGTTGGGCACAACAGGTCATCCAAGGACCCGGACCTGACTCCAGCAGGCCAGATGGACGAGTCAACCTCTCTCCAGGACACGAGCTGAGGGGCCACTCCCGCGGGAAGGCGGCGGGAGATGGGGAGCTGCTGGGGGGCTTATGGTTGTCGGAGTGAGGCTCAGGGACGGGATTCCGATCCGAAGGAGGTGTTGTTGGGAGTCTTGAAGGAAGGGGAGCCATCCCAACCAGAGGGCTGTTGCTGAAAGCCTTAAGGGCGGGAACCCCGGAGGTACACGCTTGCAGGGGTGGGGGGCGTCTGTCTGAGCCCCGGGGTAGTCGCTGAGGAACTCGGGGATTGCAAGGGATACCGGGGAGCAGGGGGTGCCCTCCCGGCACGGGGCGGCGAGTTGACCCTGAGGAGGTTAGGGAGCGGGGAGCCCGGGTCCTGACACAGAGGAGACTGCTCAACCTGGGGACAAGGGGGTTGTCGCTGAGGGACTAAGAAGGACCCTCCGAAGGCACTGAGGTACTGTGTTCCCGGCCTAGGGGCGTCGCCGAGAAGTCCCGGGTCCTGAGGCGGGGTGGGGGGACAGCAGCGGGCCCCGGAGTGTCGTTGAGGGGCTTGAGGAAAAGGGGGTCCTGAGGGGGTGGGGCGGGGAAGAAACCGGTTCCTCAAGCGAGTCGGCGGCTCGCGTTCGCCTCCCCGGGACGGGCTCCGCGCAGCACGAGCGCCCGGAGGTGAGGCGCGGCGGGGGGACACGGGGTGGGGAGGAGATGAGGTCGTTCACTCACCGGGTCCTGGGCCGAGAACCGGGCTGGGCGCGGGCCGGGCCGCCAGCGTGAGCGCGGCGGCGGAGAGCAAGGCGAGGCGGGCGGCGGGCGGCGCCATGGGCCGTCAGTGCGGGGCCCCGGGGCGCGGCCCGGGGGAGAGGGGGCAGCGCGGGGAGCCGGGGGCGGCCATGGGAGCGGGACGCGCGGGGCCCGACTGTGGCCCCGCCCCGGCCGCTCGGCCGCCCCGCCCCAGCCCGCCTTCTCGAACGCCGCCACCGCCCCGGCCGCCGGGGGGCCCGCCCGGGCTCCGCCGTGAGGCCCGAGGGGCGGAGCCGACGCGCACGCACGGCCCCTCCCCGAGCGCACGCCGCGCCTGTCGCTCAAGCAGCAGGCCACGCCCACACCCCCTGTGCCCTGACCCCCGCGCCTGCACCTTGAGGGGCTCGGCCAGCAGCAGGTGCGCCGGGCCAGGGTGCTTTAGGGGTGTGTGTGGTGATTGGGAAGGGTCCCTTGCCTCTGAATCTGCTGCTTGTGGTGGAGATTTGGCCTTGGCTGAATCAGGCAGGGTGCCTAGTGACCCCCTGCTCCATCTCCTGTTGGGTCCTAACCAACGTGCGGGCTCCACCGCATCATCATATCAGCAGATTGCAAACCGCTGTTCCCTGCTCGGCTCCATCGCGGTAACTTAAAAAACAAACAAAGATGCTTTAAAGTATCCCATTCGGCCACCTGTAAGACTCCGGAGAGGTTTAAAGGGTGTCATTATAGCTAGTACTCCCCCGGGAGCTTTTACTAAATAAAATAAGGCATGGGAACTTTGACGCGCGCACGGTGGGAGCACAGAAGGGATGCATTCGTTCCCCCCTCCATCTCTCTGTGCCTGGGTTCCAGACTGCGTCAGGAATCCTCGTGAAACCAGGGCCAACTTTCTGCTCCAAGTCTCGACCCTCTGCCGCAATAAAAGACTTTCCGAGAAGCGGGGGGTGGCGGGGTGGGATACGAATTAAATGCCAGCCAAGTGCAGAGCAAGAGGGGGTCCTGCCGCTCAGCCCACCAGCTGGGGCCCAAGAGCGCGCGGTTTCCTCTGGGTCCCCGGGCGGCAGGTCTTAAACTTTCTCAAGGTCTTTCCCCAGCTGCACCTGGAGTTTGTCCTGAGTGTCCCCGCTCTTCCCCAACACACACACACCTTGCCTACCCCCACCCCACCTCGCCCCCAAGGCAAGAGGGGATTTTCCTTGGGCTCCCGCCTAAAGCGCCGCGGTGACGCCCGGCGGGACAGGTCTGGGCGGTGCGCCCAGCGCTTTCAAATCCCCAATCCTGGGTTTGCAAGTGCCGGCCTGCGCGCCGCGCAGCGGCAGGAACGTCTGCCCTCGTGTGCCGACTCGCCGTGCCCAGAGCCGCTTGTCCTGCGCACACCTGCCCTTGAATCCCCCCTCGCCCACCCCCAGGACCTGCGTCCCCGCACCCCCAGCGGCCCCACCTCCCACTCCAGCTGCTCCCGGGGGCTCAGACTCCAAGGGCGCAGCGACCTCCCACGAGGGCTCTCCACCTCGGTTCCTCTCCACCCACACGACCCAGCGCCGTGGCAAGAACAATCTTGTTGGGTTATTTGTTTTCCCTGTCATTTCCAAGTTCAAGACTTGGGAGTATTGAGAAACCCCCCACCCCACCCAGACGGCCACGCCTCCCCCGTGAGGACACAACTTCCACGACACACCCGTAGTGTCCCACTCTAGTTCAGACTATGGCTTCCCCACAGCTCCACACCATCTCCAGGACTCTGAGAACTCTGCTCCCCAAACACGAAATGAGGAAAGGCAGGTAAAACCACGCGCACCAAGCAAACACCTGATAAAGGCAAAACATCTTCTTTCTTTCAACAAATATTCAGCCGGGAAGTGACTCGGCGAGCAGAGCCGCTCCCAGCCAGACACACCCAAGCCTCGCATTCAGGGCAACCAGCGAGGGGAAAACACAGATTTCTGATAACAAAAAAGTACTGCAGGGACAGAACATGACGTGGACTTCATTTTTTTTTTTTTGCTTTGTTTTTGAGATTTACTTACTTTTATTTGAAAGGCAGAGGTACAGAAGAGACAGAGAGATCTTCCCTTTGCTGGTTCATTCCTCAAATGGCTACAACATCTAGAGTTGGGCTGGTCTGAAACTGTAAGCCAGGAGTTTCCTCCTGGTTTCCCACATGGGTGCAGGGGGCTCAAGCACGCAGCATGCCGTCCTCTGCTGTTTTCCTACGCCATTAGAAGGAAACTGGGTAGGAAGTGGTACAGCCAGGACTCCAACAAGCAAGCACATATGTATGCCAGCGTCTAAGGTGGAGGATTAGCTTGCTAAATATCCGGCCCTCTGTGGACCCTGTCTTAAACAACATACTGGGGAAATAGGGTTGCTGGGCAGGATATGGTTCTATCTAGTTTAAAGGCTTTTTCCACATTTCGTTATGGTTTCACTGGAGAAAATATTGAGGAAGGTGAGGACTTCCCTAACAAGGTTTATTTGGCCATGTCTGGGGCAGGACAGCCTGCAGCTACCGTCACATAGCTGCCCACACAGCACCTGTCCTTCATTAGACTGCCTGACCCTCCCTCCCTCCTTCCCTTCCTTCCTTCCTTCTTTCCTTCCTTTTTCTCCCCCCTGGATACAACCAGACTGCCTGTCCCAGGGTACTTCAAACAACTCACAAAAAAGAAAATTTCAAAACCAAGTTTATTGTAGCAGAGAGCTACAATTGTTTGAAATCCATGTCTAGGAGGGGCCTGCCAAAAGGCCATGGAAATGTGCATCATTTTGAAAAGCTGGGCGTGGATTTTAAAAGTGCTTTGCACCAAGAGATTCTCCCTGGAATTCCAGTCAGGTAAATACGTTGACACACCTTGCGTAATTTGCATGGCTGAGAAAGAAGTGAAGTGTAGGATTCTTCGTCCATGGTTATGAAGATGGAGGGACCCGTGTTGTGGTTCAACAAGTAAGGTCACAACTTATGATGCCCATTCCCTATCAGAACCCAGCTTCAAATCTTGGCTGCGATGCTCTGCTACCCATCTGGCTTTCTGCTAATGCACCTGGGAGAGCAGCAGAAGCTGGCCCCCAAGAGCCTGGGCCCTTGCCACCTGCGTGGGAGACCCAGATGGAGTTCTAACTACTGCTTCAGCCTGTCTCAGCCCCAAGCCTTGTGAATGAAAGACTTCTCTGTCTCCCTCTTTCTGTCATTCTGCCTTTCAAGCAGATAAAAACAAAGAAAAGGATACGAAAGTGGTATTGGCGCAAAACCGAGGCCACTCCAAGCCTGGGGACCTGTGTCCCTCCGCAGGGGGCTCACCTGCAAAATGGACAATGTGTGAAACAGAACACAAGGTGTGCCAGCTGCTGTCCCCCATTGGCTGCCAGGAGACACGTCCTTCCAGCTGCCTTTCCTCCCTACACTCTCCCCCTATCCCCACCCAGAAAAAGTCACTCTTTCCCAGCTTAAAGCCCAGCACAGGTGATGGAAACAGTATACAAGAGGTTAAAAATATAGCACACTAAGTCTAGGTCACGGTGCTGAAGGGCTCAAGGTCTTTTGCTGCGGGGCCCTGACCCCCTGCTGTGTTCATTTCAGTGTTTCAGAAGCTTAGCACCGATTTCGTGGAGAGAGGGGGGTGCTGACGGCACTCTGGGACTGCAGTGGACAACAGCCTGCCTGCCTGTGTGCCCGTGTGTCCATTTTCTCATCTGAGAAGTAGGTTGTGCCCAGAAACTGGGAGACCCAGGCTGACAGAGACTGGATCATTCCGGTGTCTTTGGGACTCCAGGCATGATGCTTCCTGCTCCAAGGGTGGATCTGGGAGCTGGCACCATGGGAGGGAGGCCTGATAACGCCAACAGACACTTAGAAGACTGTTCTCAGCACCAGGCAGGATGTTTGCCACATTGATCCTCCTAGGGTGGGATGGCAGTAGCATCCTTAGAGTGCCCCCTTTACATACACAGAGATGAAATGATTTGCCCATCTGGTATTGTGGCACAGCGAGTAAAGCTTGTGACCTGGACAGTTCATATCAGAGCGCTGGTTCAAGTCCCAGCAGCTCTGTTTCCAATCCAGCCCCCTGCTAATAATGCGAAGCTAGAAAATGGCCCAAGGGCTAAGGGTCCCTGCGGCTCACTTGGGAGATACAGGTGAAATTCCAGACTCCTGGCTTCAGCCTGGCCCAGCCTCAGCCGTCGTTGTGGCCATTTGGGTATCAAATGAGCAGATGAAAGGGGTGTGGGTGTATGTCTTTCCCTGTTTGTTCCTCTGCCTTTCAAACAAATAAATACATCTTCAAAATTTTATTTTATTTTATTTTTATGACTTGCCCAAAGCTCCCACATGCTTTGGCTTGGAGCCTTAGCCCCTCAGGCTTCCACAGTGAATTGCATTGCCACCTGCTCAGGACTTCCAAACCCTGTAATGCTTACTAAGCGGTCCAGAGCTGGGAACAGGCAGGACAAGTCAGGTATTTGCCTCAGGCACAACATTTATGAGAGCTTAAAAAAGCATAGTAAAAAATGTCATTAATCCAGATAAATATTATTTGAAAAGTATTTTATACATCTGATAATACACAAGGCAACTTCAAAAAGTTCATGGAAAATGAAATTAAGATATCAATGTATTTTGGAAGTCATGTGTAACAATAGTGTTTTAAATTCTTATTTATTTCAGCAACACAGAGAGAGCCAGAAACAGAGAAAACTCACACACTGTGGTTCATTCCCCCAGCTGCCCACAGTGGCTGTGCCTGAGCCAGGCTGACCCAGGAGCCAGGAACAAGTCCAGGTTTCCCATGCAGGTGGCAGGAACCCTGTCACTTGAGCCATCCCTGTTCCCTGCCAGAATCTGCATTATAGGAGGCTGGAACTGGAAATTGAACTCATATAATTCCAATATGGGGCATGGAAAGCTTAACCACCATCTTAGCCATTCAGCTAAATGCTCACCTCTAATAATAGTATTTTAACTTTTTCTTTTTCTTTTTTTTTTTTATTAAATATAAGTGAAGGGGCTGGGATTATGGCACAGCTAGGCTGCTGCTTGCCATCCTGACCTCTGTATTGGAGCGCTGCTTCAAGTCCTGGCTGTTTTTCATCTGACCCAGCTCCCTGTTAATACACCTGGGTAGGTAATGAATGATGGCCCAGGTGCTTGGGCACCTGCCACCCACGGGGGAGACCGGGATAGAGTTCTTGGCTCCTGGCTTTAGCCTGGCTAAGACCTAGCTGTTTGCAGTCATTTGAGGTCTAAACCAACAAGTGGAAGATCTGAGTTTCCATTCTCTCTGATGCTCCGCCTTTCAAATAGATAAAATAGATTTTTAAAAGTAGATCTTAAAAAGAAGGGGGAAAAAAAAAAACCTTCCTTCTTAAAAAAATATGAATGCAAATATTCCACAATGAATTAGAGATGGTCAGTTTTACATAAAGCCAGGATCTGTATTTCTGATTTCCTTTTAGCTTTAGTCTTGGCTCATTATGGGATGGTTACCAATAGTATCTCCCAGGTTTCTGGTGTGGGCAAATGGCAAAGGAAAACTCAAGAGAAGCAGCGGTTTGCTTGTTCTAATGTGGGTGTGTGGCAAGAAAACAGCTGGTCTTGCACAAACTGAGCTGGGGGTGTCTGTGGGGCCTCTGGTTGGGAACCTGGAGCAGGGTTTGCATGGGAAATGGAAGGCTTGAGAATTATCTGCTTTAAGGGTCAGGTGACCAGGGCTGGGGGAACAGATAGGACCCCATCAGTTCACATACTTTTGGCCCATGATTGGTGCCGGCTCAGCACATGTGGTCTAAATCATGGGTCTTCGGCGTTTGCCTCATAGTTCAGGCATCTTTTCAAATTCCCTCTCCTCCCAAGTTTTTCTCTTCTGCATCACGAACCTCAGATATGTTCCCACATGGGTGTGGAAGTTTACGGGCTTGACTGCTAAAGCAAAAACATCTGAGGAAATTTGAAGCAAGTCGGTTTGTCCAGTGACTAGAAGAGAAGAAATGAATGGAAATGGGCTCATTCCCTGTTAACTGAGACTCCAGAAAAGGGAATTAGGGCTTAGAGAAGCGGAAGAGAAGAAAGTGAGTAATAAAGGAAGAAAGAAGAAAAATCATAGGTGCTAAAAATACTGCGAGAAAACCCTGGCATCCCTGGCATCCCGTTAGACAAGGACAGGTGTGTTTCTAAATACAAACATGAGTTAGGTCTGGTAGGCAGGCAAGCTCTCCAAGTGATCGAAGCAAAACACAGGTTGCCCAGGCTGAGTTAGAAGGCTAGAAAAAGGATGTCAAACTGAGGAACAAGACTCAGCAGTGTGGAAACCTACCACCTCAACCCTGCGTTCTCCGGATCAAGGGCTGGTTAGCAGCGTGATGGATTCTCTGGCCCTGGTGTTAGAACCCCAGAGCAGCTGGGTCCCGATTTCCTCATTGTGAACCTTGTGAGGATCACCCTCTGTTAAAGACTAGCCATTTTCCTGATTGTAAGGCTGGAGTTCATGTTCAGAACCAGAAATTCACACAGAATAAAGTTTAGCTTAAAACAAGCTTTATTGGGAGCACTCCTGGGAGAATTTCAC